CTTTTGAAAATGTTCCGGAAATACTGCGTCCTTTAAACATATATCAAATTAAAGCTTATTTTATGTACTATAAAATGAAAAAAAAAATTTGTCCCGACACTTTATCTTCTACATGTAAACGGCTGCCGTAGTTAAACAAAATACTATTTTTGAGTTAAAATTTTCGATTTTAAATTTTCAACTTAAAAATGCTATAACTTTTCGAAAAATGTAATTATAAGCACAAATTTTTTTTTCTAAATACATTATAAGTACATCTTTCATTTGACATATTTTTTATTAAATTTGGTGACAATTTCCCCATATATAGGGGGCGTTCAAAACTTGAAACATTGTATAAAAAAAAGAACTTTTTCAACTTGACTTTTGAAAATGTTCTGGAAAATCTAACACTTTTATATGTACCTTAAATTAAAGGTAATGTAATATACTCTATTATAAAAAAAAAAAATTTCGGACTTTATTTTGTCTTCATGGTGAAAATAGCTACCGTATTAAAAAATATGCTATTTTTGTGTTAAAATTCTTGGTTTTGTATTTTATTTTATTTTTTTATAAGGGGATTACACTGATTTTCATAAATATTATATCAATCTAATTGACATAGTATAAAAAGTTCAACATATTTAAATTTTTTTGTTTCTTTAAAGTCGAGAAAAATAACTTTAATATTTGAACTAGCTAAATTTACATTTTTATTAAGTGACGAATGCGACGTACGGTTTCTGAGACGGTAACACTTGTGTCTTTCACGCCTATGGCACTGAATTTTTTCTTAATCCTTTTTGATTTTTATCTTATTTAGATTCAATTACTTCAATAAATATCAAGGATCCCATTACTGCAGTCTCCTCTCGTGAGAAGAAATTCATATTAATATTATTTTATTATGGGGTTTTTTTTTTGTAGCTATCATTTATTTTCTAAGCGCTCACTTAACCTACTTTTTTGACAAATTTTTTATTTTAATTTAACACTATCTACAGGTTTGCTCCAAAGCGTTTTTTATGATAGTGATCTTAAACGCTGTCAGATATCATCTATACTTGACTCAACTATGACACGACTCCACTGTGTTGGGTTTTTTATTATCCTTCTCAATCATAAGAGTTTTAAATTATTGTAGTGATACTCAACTGTTACTGTTAGCTATGAAATTAATGATTATAAATAAGTTTGAATTTTTATAATTATAATACTCC